AATGAATAGGGTCATGCCGTAACAGAAATGATATGTGGTCACCTAAATCTATATGTACAAAGTTTTTTTTTTTGTTTTTTTTTGTTTTTTTTTTGTTTTTTTGTTTTGGTTTGAGAAAAGATGGTATTTCATTAAACCGAAAGGAACATTACATGGTAATAACTAGCATGTTAACTGTGGTCTCGTTAAAACCTTCATAGAGAAACAAAATCCCGAAGTAGGAAAGAGTACCACCCATGCTATTGACTAAACAAAAGAGTCAAACAACTTATACTACAAACCAACCTAAAACCCAACCACAAAACCCTTAAAACAACATCCCATCACTACGTAGGTACTGTCAAAGAAGTCCTCCTATGATATAGAAAAAGCATCATAGTTCTTCGTACAGAGTCAAAAACGTACTATGATTATTAGAATAGATACAACTAATCACTTAACCGCAAAACCATTGAATCACATCTTATCACTACGCAGATACTATCAAAGAAAGCCTCATATGAACTAAAGAAAGCATCATATTTCTTTGTACAAAGTCAAAAATGTATTGTGAGCATCATAACAAATCCAGCCAAATATCAACCGCCACCTCCAATTTTCTTGATCCAGAACCCTATCTGACAAGCAAGGGAGACCAAGATTGGCCTCTTAGCCTAAAGAAAATTCCGAAGAAAGATCTTCATAGTAGGAACGTTCATTGGTTGCCAAGCCCATGAACGTTCCATAGGAGAATTATTAAGGAGATCTTGGAGACCCCTCGAGGTTGGTCTTCTCCGTCTTGTCAACAAAATCCTAGATACAAAAACTATGCTTACCAGAAAAATCCATGCCACTAACAATTAGATACCCAACACCAGCTTTTGCATGCTTCTGATTCCCTCTTGGTGGCTCCTACTTGTCATTCCCTTGAGCAGAAGAGGCAGTGGTCACCTCTATAGCGTTAAGATGGAGACAACTGGCTCCTTAGGAATCAAGAAAGGAAGCCAACGTAACCACCCCATGGAGAACAAAAGAGCAACAAAAAAACGTCGTACCCAATTCACCAAGAAGAACTCAAAGAGACAATAAAAAAAGATTAAGAGAGACTATCACATCCTGGGATCGGCTCCGCCGTAGCACGATATTGTTCGCTTTGGGCCTCCCTCTTTGCCATCAGAGTTTTGTTTCTGGGAACTCACGAGCAACTTCCCAGTGAGTCACCCATCCTGGGATTGCTCTAGGCCCAACTCGCTTAACTTCGAAATTCCCATGACTCCGAAGTTAGTGAGCTCCCAAAAGGCCTCGTGCTATATGGAGGTGGGCATGTACATATAAGGCACATCACCTTTTCTCCGTTGGTCGATGTTGGATGTTACAATCCACCCCTTTTAGGGGCCAAACGTCCTCGTCGGTACACTCACACTACATGGCAGAGTGGCTCTGATACCAAATTATCACATCCGGGGATCGGCTTCGCGCTCTGCCGTAGCACGATATTGTCCGCTTTGGGCCCCCCTTTTTGACCTCACAATTTTGTTTTTGGGAACTCACGAGCAACTTCCCAGTAGGTAACCCATCCTGAGATTGCTCTAGCCCCAACTCGCTTAACTTCGGAATTCCTATGACTCCGAAGCTAATGAGCTCCTAAAATGCCTCGTACTAGATGAAGGTGAGCATATACATATAAGGCACATCACCCCCCTCTCCGTTGGTCGATGTGGGATGTTACAATCTACCCCTCTTAGGGGCCTGACGTCCTCATCGGCATACTTACGCCACATGGCAGAGTGACTCTGATACCAAATTGTCACATCCGGGGATCGGCTCCGCCGTAGCACAATATTGTCCGCTTTGGGCCCTTTCTCTTTGACCTCACGGTTTTATTCCTGGGAACTCACGAGCAACTTTCCAGTGGGTCACCCATCCTGGGATTGCTCTAAGTCCCAACTCATTTAACTTCGGAGTTCCCATGACTCCGAAGCCAATGAGCTCCTAAAAAACCTCGTGTTAGATGAAGATGAACATGTGCATATAAGGTATATCACCATCTCTCCGTTGGTCGATGTGAGATGTTACAGAGACGGCCCAGAGAACGAGTAAAGAAAACTAGAGAAACCCTAACCCTAGCGGTTAAGGCACTTCTTGAGTGAACGAGAGAGCGTCCCAAACCCTGTATCACATATGTACAAAGTAAAAGTTAAAGAATGATGAAACATTCAAAATATGATAAAATGTCTTTAGTTAATGCAAATATTAAGAATGAAAATTATTAATTAAATGAGGGTAATATGATAAATTTATACTTTTTTATATTAATAAAATTTAAAATTTAAAACAAATCAGATCATGGGTCCTAGTCTTCAAAGAAAAAAGAAAAAAAAACACAAGGGGGTAGTATCCAATAATTTGGTTTATATGGAAGACAATTTATCATGAAATTTAACATTTGAATAAAATAATGTGCATAGATGCATTCCAACCAATTTCTTTAAAGGGGAATGCTAGCAACCTTCTCTCCAACCTTCTCATTTGGACCTTCTCCCTTCTTTGCTTGACACGTGTCACTGTCTTTACACATAAAACAATACTATTTATTATAGAAAAACCAAAAATTATATTTCCATATTTGCCCTTGAAGCTAAAACGTCTTCTCTTTGCTTTATCTTTCAGAAGAAGACGCTCTGCATTTTCAACTCTGTCTTGTTTAGCTTCTCTCCCTCCAAGTCTTGGTTAAAGGTATGGTTTTTTCATTTCTGATGTATTATTGTGCTGAAAATTGATATCTTCTGAAAATATTTTCTTAGGTTGATGGGTATTTCTTTAGCTTTTCTTTTGTTAATCTAAACTGTAATATATTTAGGTTTTCATATTGAATTCGATTTTGGTGATTTTTTATTCCTGTACATAAGGCATATATTGATCTACTTCCTCATATTGTCATTGCCTATCTATTAAATATACTTTTCATCTTTTTTCGTAGGCACAAGCAAATCTTGGACTATCTAATGATGGGATGGAAAGCTCCTTGCCAAGACAGGTGCAATATATCAGTTTTCTTTTGGAATTACCTTTTAGGTGCATATATAACATATACATATGAAGGTGTTTTTTTTATGCTTCTGATAACTACAAGGATACTCATGAATGCTTGCAACAAATAGTAAGTATACCATAGGTGATACACAAATTCTTCTTTTCAGCACGTAATAATCATAACCTTTTATTGAATTTTGTCACTTATCAATAAATCTTGTTTTTCTTTGATATGTTATAGGATGAATATGAGACTCTTGAAGGGCATAATGGAATGAAAGTAAATATGGACTGGATGGTAGTGAATATTGTCATATATGATTTATTTGTGTTTATAACTAATATTTTTGTATTAATTAAGGTGCATATCTACTATATGTAACAGGGAAATTTTAATTTGTGGACCTCAGACATGCATGAATATTTTGCTGGTCAAGCTACACAAGATGGTATTGTTATAAGAACTTTTTATTTATTTATTTATAGAATTTTTATTTATTTGTAAGAACTTTGTTTATGCTTGTTTGACCAATTGAATTTTGTGGTAATAGGAACAGTTGATACATATTAGAGAAGCTTTGCATATGAAGTCTGGGAAGATGAGAATTGAAGTCGCATACCTTTGAAGAAGAGAAGTGAAGTGAAGTGAAGTCTGGGAAGATTAATCATCTTTTGTTTCTACTACTACTAGACTCTGGAAATTTTTTGGGAAGACTTTAATATTGTATAAAGATTTCACTATTTGGTGTTTTGTAACCGTTGCTAATATTAAAATGTGTTGTTTTGTTTCTACTCAGATTTGGGGGATATTTTTGTTTATTTAGTAGTATAAGAAATGCAATCAAACCCTTTGTTTTTTTAAATTTTTTTTTAAAAACAGACATTAAATTGCATTGTTTTATGTGTAAAGAGAATGACACGTGTCAAGCAAAGAAGGGAGAAGGTCCAAAGGAAAAGGTTAGAGAGAAGGTTGCTAGCATTCCCCTTTTTTAAAAACTTTTAGAAAACAAAAAGTTGACTTGGAAAAGGATTTGTGTTGATTAATTAACCTCTTACCCAAGGAAAAGCTATTGACCCATCACCCAAGAAAGAGTGAGGAGCAAGAAGCCGATCCCTACAAATTCATACAGTGATTCAAATCCAAAGCATCCAAAACCCGAAATTCAAATCCCAAAACCCAAATCCTTTTTCCGTGGAAGCTCGACTTTTGAAAGCGCAAAAGCACTTTTGGCAACAATGGGCATAATGGGAAGCAGTTTCTCGTTTATATTGGGCTCAGTGTTCGGCATGTACGTTGCCCAAAACTACAACGTCCCCAACATCCAGAAGCTCTCCACCACTGGCCTCTTGATCGCCAAGCACATCGAAGAGACTTACCGGAAGCCTAAGAAGAGGGACGACGAGAACCAGAACCAGTAGATCTCGCCGTACGACGTCGTTCCGAAACAGGTTCTTTTCTCGTAGCGGAGAGTGAAGCGCATCTTTATTTCGTTGGGTATGTATGTATTATATATATATTTTTTTTAGTGGTGGGTTTTGATGGAAATCTGAGCCTTTTGCTTTTGGTCCCAGTAATGGATGCAATTTCTTTTGTGAATGTAGTTCTTTTCTCCGTTTGGTTGCTGAGAAAGTGTAGGAATTGAAAGGAAAGTTTTTGGGATTTTGTTCAATTGGCTATTCAATTTGGAAATTTGTTCAATGTGCATAGCTACCTTCCTAGTTCTTAATGCATGTCTGTTCAATGATTGAATTCTCCACAATTTACTGAGAATTTGCTTCCTAATCCTCCATTCATGAGCCTTGCATTTTAATCATCAATACCTATTACAAACCATGTATTCCTATCCAAAAAATAAAACCATGTATTCTCACATAGAGGGTGATAATCTGTTAGCTTTTCTGTGGTAGCTTTGCTAATGTATATTTATAAAACTACTGACAGAAAAACCAGGAATAAAAAGTAAGCATTTATCTTGGGAAGGCATCGATTCGAAAATAGATACGATCATGCTCTATAATTTATAGTTTTCCTGCTAGATAAAATCTCTACTACATATGTACAATAGTTTCATATATCAACATAAAGAAAAATGTAAAGCAGAAGTTGAAAGTTGCCTCAGCTACTTTTTTAGTAACATGTGAATCATAAGCTGCCTCTGTTGTAAGCTCCAGGATTGTGCATTCTATTCAATGATCACGTAGAAGTCACTTGAAACAGAAGAGGCTGTGTCACCCTCTGATGGAGACGAAGAAGGGAAGGCCAAAGGGCTCTCCATCTTGTGCAACAAACGCCACTCATCAATGCTTGAAATCCGACGAGGGTCCATACTTGGGGGAATTCTCTGGTCTAGAATATTCAGAATGTTTTCAGTTTGACCGAGAATGCAAACGGCATGCCTCACACTTTCCTCCCTCTCTTCAATGGTGCTGTTCAAACACTTCCTCTTTATAACTTGCTTTATATTCGTGAGACAAGCAGCCAGTATGTCAGATATCATGACAGTCAATGCCTCAAATAATCTCTCACCTGTCTGGTTGAGGCTGCCTTCATAATTTAGCAGAAGAGTTTCACTTATCCTATACATGGAATTAGCAGCCAATTCCTTGACAGGCCATTTTGAAGGGGTATCTCTTAAACATACATTCGTAGTCTTTTGCTTCTTTTTAGATTCTTCAAATATGAATTTTGCAGTTTCAGCAAGTCCTTCAAGTATCTCCTTTGAGCTCTTTCCATGAAGTGACAATTTACGGAGATCCACATCCAGCCATGTATGGTAGAGATCAACTCCTAGCCACACCATATCTGCTGTCTTTCTGATGTTGGTAACATCCTCTTTAGAATCCAGGAAATTTTCAATAAAATTTATGTACATGATCCCTTCATGGACACCACCTATTAACTCTTTTATTGAACAACTGCTGATGTTTGGAAGTGCAAGAGCAATACTAGTTAGTGTTACAACAGGTAGAGCCCAACTGTTTGGTGGTTCTTCCAAGTCTAGACAGGGAACTTTTTCACTGTCGAAATCTGCTACTCCTTTGAATCCTTGTGAAAAGGTTGATTTCTCCAACAGTTTAACGATATATTTAGGCTCTCTTTTCTTTCCCCTCTGAAACCAATGATCTGTAGCATCACAATTACTTCTCATCATGTGCTCAACCAATGCATCCTCACCTTCAAGATGCAGAACATAACAGCTAAGATCAAGCTTTTGGTTTGGCTGTGACTCTGGCCCTGAGTCATTAAAAACAGTGTTGAATTTGAACTTCTTCTTCCACTGTTTGCAGAAGTCGCAGCATAACAAGATCCTGCTTACAAAGAAAATGGAAATGAGCCGAATTGCTTGACTCATTATGACATTCCCTGTCTGCATTCCAATACACAAATCCAAAAATTTGTTTCTTGTGTCATGAGCAAGTTTCCGGCAGTGCCTATTTTTGATTCTTATGAAAGATAACGGGCACTCTTTCAACTCTATCAGTCCTTGTGTCCAGTACTTTTCTACTCTGAATTCTCCTTTGTAGGTGGTGTTTCCTCTTTTTGCACACCTGAAGTTTATGGCGATGAACCATCTAGATGCAGGACCAATTGTACCAACTGCTACTGCAATTGTTTGTGTAGCAAGAACCAAAGTGGTTGACCACTTGTAGTCAGACTCACCTCTGCAAAATGTAAATGACCAGGGCATCAAGTAAGTCCGAAGCATGGCTTCTGCTAAAATCATGGTACTCAAAAGACAGATTGCTCCAGAAGCTGTGCACGTCGCTGAGTGCCCCATCACAAACTGGGGACTAGAGGTATGAGCCATCATCCAATGTTTCATCAGACATTCTTTAAGTTTGCTAGCCACTCTTTTACCAGTTTCATTTATGCCTTCTTTCAGAGCTAATTGGTACCTTTTATTGTACTTGTGTTCTAAATAACGTTTAGATATGGGAATAGTTAAAGCAGAGAAATTCATCATGATAAGTAAAATAAGCATGATGAACATGATGAAAACATGCTCCTTGCAGAAAACAAAGATTGCACCAGTAGCTAGCTGAATGCAGATATTCACGATAAGAGTAATAACCAGTATTCCAAAAGCAATTATATTCATCATGATTTCTTTGTTTTCCATGGATCCAAGAGAAGGCATAGAGTTGCCCATTACCGTGCAGATCAAGACAGAACTGCTAAGCTTGGCGAGCTGATCCTGGCGGCTAGGCATCGCAGTGTTTAGATCCACTGACAATTTAACTGCTACGCCTATCAAGGTCAAAGTAGTGGCATTGATGGAGAAGAACTTGCTAGGGAACCAGAGTTTCCAGTGTCGAAAGCCGTGGACGACATCTGCAGCCATTGCAATTAGGCAGGCCAGGGATGCTGCTGCTACATAGATGCCAATCCAAGGCATAGGAGCACTAAAATTTTCCTGGTTCAGGTTCCCATCGACGTTGCAGCCACCCATCTTCTTGCTCAGGTGGTGTTCTCTTGGGAGAAAATCTTTCTGCTCTGGTTGTGCAGCTGCTAAATGTTATTTGATCAAGTATTGCCGGTCCACTTGGTTAGCCTTAATATCTTGCCTATGTTACAGTGCCTTCTTTGATGTTTGACTTGTTTCTGGTCAGACCACTGCTGCTGATTATGAATGAAGATTAATTTTTTTTCTCCTTTCTTTTTTCAATGGTTGGACTTCTTGTTGAGAGTTGAGAACAGGCTGAACTTTTTTAGTATTTTCCTCCATGCTAGTCAAGTGGAGTAAATTCAGGCTTATCTCGTCAGGTAAAATATCTCATCTTATTATCATACAACTTTTATAGTATATTAATTAATCGTGGCTAACGTGCTTGATTATGTCACCCAACATGGTTTAGAGCAGTTTGGACGGCACAATGAGTAACAATGAGAGCATATAATTATTTTGTTTGGAAAATCATGAGAGTTGGTATAATTAATTATATTAAAGTGGAAGCTTTTGGTACAAATTCAAATCCTCTTGCAGGAATGAAAGCAGCCGTGGGGGCCCTCCTCAACCCACACTAAGCTGACTTATAACTACGATGCCCAAAGAGATGATATGAAAAAACCCTGCTACAATAACAATTGAATAGTCTGTGTCCACTAAAAAAATATTAAGAGTGATTCTTGCATACAACTGGTTGTATACAAGTTTGTATCTGTTTCCCTCGTCACATTATCAATCACATCACATTATCAATCACGTAATGAGAGAAATAGATATATAATTATAATTTTTTTTTAATGAGGGACACATAATTACATACAACCAGTTATAAGCAAGAGACATGTGGAGTCATACATAGGTTATGTGTTAGGTCCACTATCTTAGATCACTTCATTACAAATAACAACTAAAGGGTAACGAGTCTCATGCCCTGCAAATATAATCTAAAAATATCATAGATGAAGCAAAAGTTGAAAGCTGATTTCAACTAACATTAATTGTACAAATAACATGTGAATTTCAGTCCATGGTAAGGTAGAAATGATCACTTGTACCTGCAGAAGAGGCTTTGTCACTCTCTGATATTAGAAATGAAGTGCAGGCCACCAAAGGGATCTTGGGTTTGTGTAACAAACGCCACTCATCAATGTTTTCCATTTGGTGGTGATCCAAACTTGAAGGAATTCCCTTGTCCACAATACTAAAAATCTTCTCAGTTTTACCAAGAATGTAAACTGCATCCCTCACACTTTCCTCCCTCTTTTCGATTTTGCTGTTGAGACACCTGATGGCCATAGATTGCTGTAAATTAGTGATACATGCACCCATTATGTCAGAGATCATGACAACCAAGGCCTCAAATAATCTTTCATCTGTCTGGTTTCTGCTGCTGTTTTCACAATTTAGCAGAAGGGTTTGGCATACTCTGTACATGGAATTAGCAGCCAATTCCTTGATCGACCATTTTGAGGGGCTATCTCTTAAGCAATTTTTTTTACTAATTTGCTTCTTTTTAGATTCTTCAAATATGGATTTTGCTGTTTCTGAAAGTCCTTCAAGTGTTTCCTTTGGGCTC